TAGAAAAATATAAGTCCCTCTAATTTGGATGTCATTGAAGTTGATCGTAGTTGTTAGAATAAAGCACAGAGTTTTCTCGTGGAACCCACATATTCATGCCGAGGCCTTCTTTATGAATGCATGTACATTTCAGGAATTGGAAACACCCACCCAAGTCAGGCCTGCATAATTCCACAAAGCACTGAGCTGCTATGTTTGTGAAGGAAATTTGGTGTTTTTACACTTTGCTGATTCTGACAGCAAATTGGTATGTGTATTACTTTCCTATGGGCGTTGTAACAAAGCACTACAAACTGGGAAATTTGAAACAATAGAAATTTAGTCTCTCATAGACCTGGAGATTCCAAGGCTAAAAGCAAGGTCCCAGGAGCCACACCCCTTCTGATTCCTCTAGAGGAGGTCCTCCCTTGCCTCTTCCAGCCTCTGGGACCCCCGAGCTGTCACACTTCCACGTTGGCTGCCATCATCCCTTGATGTTCTGTCCCTTAGTGCCTGCTCTTGGCTGCTTTCCCCTCGGGTTTTCCTCTTCCCTCAAGGACATCAGTCATATTTGGTTGAGATCCACACTAATGTCTGCAACTTACATCTGCAAAGAAGATTTGAAGATTGTTCTTCAAATACAGCCACATTTAGCACCAGCAGCTAAGACTTCAGCATATCTTTTGGGGGAGCATGGCAGGCACAATCCAGTCCATAACAGCAATAGTGGCTCATTTTCTGCCCTTTTATATGGAAGCTTGGTTTATGTCCATAAAAGGGAGAGTGACTTAGGCAGGGGAATTTGGAGGGCAGTTAATGAGACAGATTGTTTCTCAGGCTTGGACCAACTCTAGCTTTTGGATTTATTTTGGGTACTAAAAAGGAGTCTTTCTCACTCTTCCTCTAGCTGCTCCACACAGTCAGATAGAGCAGCTCTGGAGGTCCCAGGGATAAGGGGATAAAGCAGCTGCACTACACAGAGTCACAGTGGAGCCAGTGGGGAGGGCAGTCTGCTTGTTGTCTTGGAGCTGGTCATTGAGAAGAGTCAGTTCTGTATGTTTTTTCCTGTCAGAGCATCCATTGCTTCATTCACTCAACAATTACCAAGCTCCTAAAATGTGCAAGGCACCGCTTTAAGTGGAAAGATGCCATGGAGGACCAAAAAGACAAAATTCTTGTTCTTGTGGAGATTGCATTATAGTGGGAGAGACAGATAATACATAAGTGAATATGTAAATTATATTATTTCAGGTGATAATTATATTATTTCAGGTAATAAGCACTGTAGAAAATAAGGCAGAGGGGGCTGGGGATGTAGCTCAGTGGTTCTGCTGTCTGCCTCGATAGCGCCAGTTCCTGAGTTCAATCTCTGTTACCAAACCAAAAAAAAAAAAAAAAAAAAAAGAAAAGAGAAGAAAAGAAAAGAAGGCAGGATGTTGGGAGTGAAGTGAGATGCTTCCTTCAATAGGATCTCTCTGAGACCAATATTTGAGCAGAGATTTGAGTCCCCATAAAAGTGAATCATACAAAGACTTACGGGAAGAATATTCCAGGTAGAGAGAACAGCACATGCAAAGACCACGAGGAAGGGGTAAAGCTGGAGTGTTTAGGGACAGCAAGAAAGTCTACCTGGAGCGAGGGGCAGAATAGGGGAGAGAAAATTGGGAAGGAAGGCAGGGACTTTGTGAGACGTTTGGATGTTCCAAAATACCACGACTGCAAGCAGAATGTCGGACAATGGGAAGCAGATTATGACCTCTGGGGTGGGCGTGCGTGCGTGCGTGCGTGAGTGCGTGCGTGCGTGGGGGGGTGACTGAAGAGTAAGGAGAAAGGATGGGGAGCACTTGGTGATTTATGGCTGCAGCCCACAAAGGAGCTCATGATGGGTAGGACGAAGCTGGGAGCTGGAGGCCGGTGAGAAGTGGCTGATTTGGGATTTTTCTTTAAAGTATACCAGAAGGGCTTGATGGCTTGGGGAGGGGGCATAGGGAAAGCAGGTGGAGGGCAGTTGTGGGTTATTTGGTTAAATCACTTGGTGAAGCCGGGTGCCATCCCCTTAGAAGTTAGCAAGTTTGGGAAGGAAGAAGGAAATGTCAAAAGTCCTACTTGGCCCTATTACAGTCTTTTCTGAGGATGACTAAGGAAGTCTTTAAAAACAGCTTTATGGAGATATAGTTCACACACCATACATTTCATCAATTTCAAGTATACAATCCAATGCCTTTTAGTTCACTGTGAATACCTGTAAGTTTTACATCCATCGCCACCTGTGCAGGTCTTGTGTCTATCACCACAATCAAGTTTAGAAGATTTTCATTACCACCAGAGCAAACCCCACACCCCTTGCTGTTTCCCCCTCCCACCACTTAGGCAACCATTGATTAAGCCTAGGTTCAAAGGAGAGGCTGGGGCTGGAAGCACACATCTGAGGCTCGTTCATGGTAGATATTGTTAAAGGGAGTGAGTGTGGTCAGAAGGCTGAGGACTGAACCCCAGGGAACTTGGGGGTCTGAAAAAAGAGGCGGAAAGGTGATCAAAGGAAGCTTGTGGAGGTTGGCCGTCCTGCAGGGGAAGATGGTCTTGGGATGTGGCACTGGATAAGCCAATTCTTCTTGCTGTCTCCACTGAGCAGAGGACCTATTGCAACACCCATTATCAAGCACATACGAAAACATGTGGTCCCTTCATGGCCACCAGAAGTTGCTGGGTCTAGTTTCTGATGGTTCCCTTAGTCTGAGAGGCCTACATCAAAAATCCCCACTCAAGAAATGCACTAGTAGGAGGAGACAGAAGTACTTAAGTCACCTAGGAAAGATTTATGTCCTTGTTGAGATTAACTCGTTACTGTTAATGGATGCAGTGCCACAAAGCTATGACAGAACATATGTCTCACTTTATTCGTTAATGGAAAGAGCTAAAAGGCCCCTTCCCCAGGACCAGCTAATTACAGAGACTTAGATTTAGAGCTCTTGCCGTCTTCCCCAGGCCACCTTTTCTCTTTGCTGGGATCACTTTGGCTTTTAGGAATTCTGGGATTTCTGAGACTGAAAAGGGGGCCTTGGAAACAACAGCTCAAAGCTACCAAGGCTGAGGTGGTTTTAGACAGCAGAGGGCAGGAGAGACACAGTTCCCTCTACACAACTTGGCGTGCAGTGTCCTGTCCACAAGGCCGAGGTAGTCTTGGGAAATCCCATTTTCTGCAAAGTGTGTGATTAGTCATGTTAGCTTTAAAGGTGACAGGTTGCAGGTTGAAGGGTTGTCCTGAGTTTGATGCAAACATTGTAAAAGCAGAGAGGCCCCTGGGAGCTGGGTCAAATCCTGGTACAACTGCACAATCAACTGAGCCTGGGCATCAGTTTACCTCTTAACCTTTCAGCTCAGCTTCTGGATTGCACAATACACTGTGTGTGTGTGTGTGTGTGTTCTGGGAATTGCACCCAAGGCCTCATACTAGGCAAGTACTCCACCATGAAGCTACATCCCCAAATCTTTGTTAAAATTTTATTTTCTGACAGGGTCTTGATAAACTGTCCAGGCTGGCCTCAAACTTTCAGTTCTTCTGCCTCAGCCTCCACAATAGGTGGAGATACAGGTAGGGCTACCATGCCTTTCACTTCGGAGTTGGTTTATTTGCTTGTTCTCTATCTTTTTAACCTTCTAAGGGACCAGAAGATTACAGGGCCAAATGGGACAGTGGCTTGCATACAGAAATATCGAGAAAAATAGGGCAGAGACCAGAAGAGCATGTAGGTGTAACCTTCTCTTAATGTAAAACTGTCACGCTGATTTGCTGACATTCAGTGGGACTCGGGGCCAAAGGTAACTAGGGGTTAAGGATATGGGAGGGACAGTGCAGGCCCTGAGTCAGTGAAAAAGGCTTCTGAAACTGTTGGAATGCCCCCCCCCCCCTCAAAGGAAAGAGGGCCTCAGAAGTTTTCTTTTTCTCCTCTGGGATCCGGGTTGTGTATCACAGGCATGGTGCTGGGGAGCGGGAGGCCTAGGGAGCAGACTGCGGGGCTTTAAATCATGTAGGGCTCATTTGGTATAAATCAGAAGTTCCGTTGTTTCTCATTTTCACCACTCTGCGTACCAGGTTATAAATAACATTCCTGGACGGAAGTAGGACAAATAGGAGAGGCGGCAGAGATGGCAGGGAAGGTCTGGTGAGCAGGGTCCTCTACCTGCCCACAGGCAAAGTCCAGCTTTTTATGGGGGGGGGGAGCCCGGAGGAATCACAGGAGAGGTCAGTATGTGACTGCGAAAGCACAGCGGGTTTTAAAAAAAACCACCAAGAAAGTCATGCAAGGAAAAAAATGGTTAAGAATTTCCCCTATGTGGCAGCATTTGCCCTGCAGAACGAGGTCTGTAAACAGACTTCCAAACCCCAGCTGTGGGTCGCTCCAACTCGAGGACCCTTTTTCTGCTCCTTCGGCCTCAGCGCCCTCTTCCTGCACCCCAAAGTCGGCACCCAGACCTAGGGGCCCGCGTGGAGAAAGGAGGCAGGAGGTCCGGGTGCCGAGAGGGGACTCGGCCCTCGCGCCCCTGGGGTCCCTGAGCGCCTCTCCCTGCACCGTCGCCCGAGCAAAGGGGCCGGGCGCGCCGGAGGAGAAACCCCAGCACCGAGGGCTCCGCGGCGTTAGGCTTGGCCGGCGTGAACTGCGGCGACTTCGGCTGTCCCCGCCGCCTAGCCGGGGCACAGGCGGCGACGGGGGCGAGCGCAGCTCCGCGGGGTCGGAGCGCGGGAAGCTCGCGTCTCTGGCTCCTCCCTCTCCGCCGCGCGTCCCGGGACTCCGGCTCCGCGTGGCGGCAGCTGTCGCCCACGCCACCCGTGTCTTCGCGGCTCCTCGGACGCAGGAGGCGAAGAGGCGCAGCCCCCACCGCCGGGTGTAACCTGCCGGAGCGGCTGAGCCCGTGCGCCTGGCGAGCGCAGCCGCAGCGAGGCCGGGCCGAAGAGAGCCGCCCGCCGCGGGGGGCGGGCTGGGGGCGGGGCGGCCGGGGCTCCGTGCGGGGCGCGATCCCCAAGCGAGCACAGCGCCCAGGCGGCCCAGCCTCCTCCCCGACGCCGGCGCGCAAGTTTGGCGGCTCCGAGCCCGGCGCGCCTCGGCCCCGCGCCCTTGGTTCCAGCTGGCCGCGGCGCGCCCTGCTCGGCGGGGACCCTCGGGAGCGATGCCGGTGGACGTGATTTTAGTTTTGGGGTTCTGTGTGTGCGCCGCCAGGACAGGTGAGCAGGGCGGGGCGTGGGAGGACTCGGGGAGGCGGGGGTCGCCCCGCGGCTTGGCCGGGTCCGCCTGGGCGCAGGCGGACCCGGCCCGGGGAGGGGCAGCGCCGTGGGCCGGTCCGGTCGATGTCCGCGCCCGCTCCTGGTGCAAGGGCGGCAGGCGGGACTCGCAGGTGTCCCCGGAGTGTCCTCCTCCCGGGGACGCGGCTGCGGGCGCTCGGGAGTGAGGGCTGCGGCTGCGAGGAGGCAGCCGCGTGCTGCTGGATACCGGCTTTCCAGCTCCGGGAGTGCAGCCCGCAGCAGGGCGGGCCCGCGAGCACCGCGTCCCGGAACTTGGAAGGTGCGGTGCAATCCGCTCCCCGAGCGGCCCCTCGGGGACCGGAACCCGCGGAGGGGCGCACGGCGGGAGGGCGCGGCGCGGGCTGAGGGGACCCGGGACCCGCGGTCTCTCCCGTCCCCGCCGGACTCCCGGGGCAACTCTCGAGTATTCCTTCTCCCGCCCGCTTCCGCCCCCAGGGCTGGGCGACGATTTTTATTCGCAGTGGAGACCGTCCGGGGAGATTTTCTCAAGCTATAATGGGAGGTTTGGGGGCGCCGGGGGAGCAAGGAAACCGACGCGATGGTCTCGAGGCCCCACTCCGTTTGGCCTCCCGAGGCTCAGTGAGGGCCCCACGAACACCCCCTCCCCTCCGCTGCCCCCAGGTGCCCTTTCCCCAAGTCCCGGGGCCTCGGAGGCCGCCTGCGGCCGCTGTTTTTAAAGAGCTACTCCTAGTAGCTGCTGGGAGCTCGGGTGGGTGAGGTGGGGGAGAAACGGGGAGAAACAGGGGCGGGCTATAGGGAGGGCTCGTTAGAGATGCTCTGTTCCGCGTCGGACGCCTGTCCTCAGGGCAGGTTTCCCCCGACTCTGAGCCCCAGGGTGTGTGCGTGGCCGTTCCCTTGCCCCTCATCTTTTACCCGTTAGCATCCCAGGGTTTATTCTCCCGAGGCTTAGCCTCCTTCCCTGGCCAGAGCAAGTTTATCCGGAGAGGGCTGAGGAGGGGCGCCGGCCCTTGGTTGGCTAAAAAGTTCCCTCCGCTTACGCCCAGGGCGCCCCTCTCGGCTGCAGGCAGCGTGCGGAGGATCCAGGGGTCCCCGGCGACTAGGACGCTCCGGCCGGGCACTGAGCAGGCCCGGCTTTCCTTTGGCTTAATCCGAATGCGGTAAGGAGCGGTTTCTCCGGGGACGAAGGACGACCCCCACCTCTCCTCCTTTCCAGCCGCCCTGGCTGCAGATGCTCCGAGATGCAGGCTGACCTAGAATAGTTTTTTCTCCGATTCAGGCTTTTCGTGAAGGATGGGTTAATCTTTCAAAAACAAGAGCACACTGGCTGGAGGCAGGAAGGCTTTCCAGGAGGAGGAGAGGGAGGAGGAGGGGAGGCCAGGCGAGGCCAGGGCAGAGCTCGGGCTACCCAGAGCAGGGAGAGCCTGGGATTGATGGTTGCTCTAGGGAAGGAAGAGCGGAGGACAGGGAAGAGCTAGATGGGGAGGAGGGCAGCCCAAGGCTCATTTCACAGCCTCAAGTGCAAATCACGGCTGAATGTGTCCTAGACACATTAGTTCTCATTACTCCTTTGAAAAGTTGCCCATAAAGTACCTTCCTCCAGGAGTGGCCCGTGTGTCTTTCCAGGGCACATTGCTTGTGGACGTTAAGAACCCTGTCTGGTTCTCCTTCCTCTCCCCAAGGCCATAACAGTCTTGTAACAAATTGGTTGTGGGGAAAGATTCATTCATGCATTTAGCTTTTCATTCAACAGACAGCTGAATGTCTGACTAGGTACCCAGTGACATAAAAGGGAAATGACTTGGCCCTTGACTACTGCGACCTTAGAGTTTAGCTGAGAATCGAGATAGCTGCTGGAAAGCACTTTTATTCTACAGCTTGATGGGGTGGGATGGGGTCTAAGAAGTTTGAGAGAAGGCAATTTGGAGGGCAGAAGGGTGTGAGTCAGTTTGGGGAGGAGGCGGAGTGGTCAGGGAAAGTGACACTTGAGAGTCGTGTCTTGGTGGGGCTTGGGGGGTTAAAGTGGGGACCGCTACAGCAGGAGGCTGCAAAGCAGTGTTGCCTGGGTGGGTTGACTTTTTAGTGCCGCTTGGTACCTTGCTACACGAATACCAGAGGCCGCAGATTTGTTCTACAGAAATTATCAGAAGAATCAAAGAGATAAGGAGGGAATCGCTTTCCTTCCGTACACTTACCTTTCCTTGTATGGGCACGTAGCTTTCTGGGGATAGCCCCATTGATTTTGTCCCGAAATGCACATTTCCACATCACACATCCACCCGCTTCGGTAGGTAGCAAAGGCTAGGTGGTGATTAGTTATCAGGATCCCAACAGCTGCTTGCAAAGTTTATTTGCCAAGTGAGACAATTGTTATGGGGGCTGTTAACAATCCTAGACGAAATAAACATGTGGTTCACTTAGTGAGCTGCTCAGATATCACCGCCTTTTAATGGAAACAAATAGATGATATCAGGCGCATTTTAATTAAAGCAAGACTGCAGTGCAGAAGCGGTTACATATGAGGAGATCTAATGATAGGTGTCCTAAGGAAGCTGCGTACATTATTCTTGTTCAGAAAACTTGTTTTAGAGTTCAGAGCGGAGTCAAGATAGGAGATGCTGTTTTCCAGTTTTTGTTCTTGTTTCTGGATAAAAAAATAACTTGAGACTACCAGACACATCACTAATAATGAAAACTTGGAAGGTTACAGTAATGGCCGTGCTCATGAGTTTTCTCCGATGGCTTAGAAGCATGAGTTACGTGAACACAGGGATTATTATTATTATTATTTTTTGTGCCAGGGATTGAACTCGGGTCCTTGCGCTTGCTCAGTGGGCAGCGAAACCACTGAGCTAAATCCCCAGCCCAAGACAAGGATTATTATCCCCTTGCTTTCTGGTTTGCTTTGGTCACCAGGGCAGGGAGCGAAGGGAGAACTGTACCTAAACGCAGTGCCCCTAGGTGCCCAGGGAATGCCTTTTGCTGCCACCTGCTGGTCGGGAGAGATTTTTCTTTTGGGAGCAATTCCCAGGTCGTTTATTAATTATGAATTGAATAATTGAGCTGTGAAAATGAGCCTCCGGCCTTCAAAATATTGGCTAACTTGAAAGAAACAGAGCAGCTTCCTCAGGAAAATTGCTTCTGGGGTGTTCAGAACTGATCAAATGGTTGTGAAATCCTGCTGTTAAATGAGGTCTTACAGCGTCTTTCTGGTGTCATTTTACTCTGCAAGGGCCTTGAAAACAGCTGTCATCTTGGGCAATAAGCCGGATTAGATTTGGATTGAGCCAGATGCACGGGGATTTGCTTGGGGGCCTAGGTCCTGGGCATCAAAGGTGGATGAGTGGGCTCTGGGCTCAAACACTCCCTGGGCAGGGTTGCGGAGTGGCCAGCAGCAGCCCCAAGGCCCTCTGTGATACTGACATGCTGCCTTCCAGGTTTTAAAATATCTCCTCCCAGGGATCATTTTATCCTGCTTAATTCTAATTCCCAGCTCCAGCCATTTGTAGGGCTGCTATGTCAAAAGCAGAAAACTTGATAATAGAGTTTCCTAGGAAAGGCCAGGAACTCCATGCTTGGAGAAGAAACAGAAACATTAAAATAAAAATATTAATGGAACTCACACTACACAAGGTCCAGGAGAGGCCACCGAAATGCTGCCTTATTAATAGGTTTTCTGATTCCCTAGGTGGTATACAAAGTGCTGTCGTTTATACACCCTCCTATTGGCAGTGGGCATTTTCATCCCGAAGGGGACCAATTCAAGGGAGAGAAGAAAATTGTACCAGAAGCCTAATTGATTTCTTTTCTCTCGTTCTGTTTTTATGAGATATTTTCACAAAAAGCGAAACAGTTATGGCTGGGGTGGGGGGAGGCCGTCTGAATCATTTCCATTATTTGGGCGGAGTTGAGGACTAGGGAGATGGAATGGAATAGGAAGATGGACTATTATAAAAGACAGGTGAAGCAGACCCCAGCTGGACGTCCGTATGAGCTGAACATGAGCTGTTGGGAGTTGCCGCTAAGACCTCAGGAGTCTGGGAGGGGAATGACCACTTCTTTTTTACAGATGAGCAAACAGAGGCCTGGAGAGGTAATATTTTCCAAGAAGTGATTTTTCAAAGGGTGCATAATTTATGGAGGAGAGAGTCAGGACTGGAAGTGGCTTTTTAATTTCGCAGCCTCAATTGTTCACAACACCTTCTGGATTGAGGTGCTGTGTTCTCACCTGAGGACAGGGACTCAAGATACTGCTGGGAGACTGCAGTTCTGCAGAATCTGTTTGACTGCCTTCTAGGCCGGTCCGATTTCAGGCTTCATGGTCTGGGAGCTTGGTATCTTTAGGATGACCATTGTAGTGAGTCTTTGCATCAGTTACTGCCACGGTTAATGTCACGTAGCAATGACTTAACGCAACAGTCATTTATTTTGAGTCACATATCTGTGGATTGTTGCCTTACCTAAGCCAGGCTTGGTGGAGTCATTTCCAAGTTGAAGTCGGTGTCTGCACTGTGTATCTTAGCTTTCTTGGTACAGCGGGGCTGCAGGGCCGTGTTCTTCTCTTAGTGATGGAGAAATGCAAGAAAATAAGGCCCACTGTGCAAGCACACTTACGCCTCTGCTTGTGTAACGGTTACTAAAATCCCAATAGCCAACACTGGTTAAATGGCTGAGCTCAAAGTCAAGAGTTGGGGAGGTTTCCTCTCGCTGTAGTGGGAGGAACTTCACAGCCAAATAGCACAGGGTGTAGGAATGGCAGGGATAAAGATTGGAGGCCACTAATGCAGCCAACCACAGTCTCCTAACCAGGTTTCCTTGGCCTGGATGCCATCCTGTCTTCTCACGGTACCCCAGATACGCATGTTGCTCTGAGGTGTTTACTCCCAAGGCAGTGATCATGAACCCACACACCAGGTAATTAGGTTCTAAATTAAAAGCCTATAATATGTCAGGGCTTGTACAAAGCATCAGGGCCAGAGGGACACTTCCTTCCTTTTGTGTCCAGCTAAGGGCACAATCTCAAATCTGCTTTCAAAATTCCTGGCCAGAGAAAGACCAGCTTGGAAGTCCTTTGAGATCACCTTTGATTTAATTTCTGACAAGTAGGTGTAGAGCACTATAGATCAAACTGAAATATTAGTTCCTTTCCTGTCTTTTCAAGGTGAGCATAGAACTGCTAGCACCTGAACTCAGGAAAGACACCCCGACTCAACAACACGGCCGTGGCTCTGGACTTGGGATGATAGAAAACCAGCTGGTTCAGTTGTGCTTTGCACAGCTAAAGTGCTTCTGAAGTGGCCCCAAGTGTAGGTGAACAAGAGCAGGCAGGCAGAAACTTAAAGTTAGGTTGTATTTAAAGTGTAAGTCAGAGCATTACTGCTCCTCTTTTTCCTTTAAATGTAAACCTATGCCTCCAGTGATATCCCATAAGAATTAGGCCAGTGGTCATGCTCCCCGGTGCAGGCTCTGTGAGAACATCCCCAGTGCCTTGCTGTACATATGTTCATAGTACACCCTTGGCGAGACCTGTTAAAAACTTATTAAATGGATGAATGCAGAGTCCGTGAAAGTAACAGTTGTCTTGGGGTAAACTGGCCCCATATCTGGCTGTATTCCAAAGGAGAAAATTTAAACCGTTGGTTTAGGAGACAAGAGAATGCCTGGCACAAACAGAAAAAGCAGTTATTCTGCCCTGGCAATGACAGGTTTCAGCTCCAAAGAGCCCCTCTGACCGCCTCCTGCTGACAAGACCTCCACTGCAGCAGCAGTCCATGTTTCCTAGCAGGAAAAGAGGAAGGAGAGGGTAGACTTCCTTCCCTTCATGTGCAGGGCCGGGGGTGGAAGGGGAGGACAGGTGAGGCTGTGCTAGCTCACACTGTCCTGATGAATATTCACCCCGTCTCTTCAGGACAAATTGGGTGCAAGCTCTCCGAATCCAGACTGGGGGACTGCATTACCAGCAGACGAAAGTTGACAGCTGTTGCTGATTAAAACATTTCCAACTGTGCAATCAGAATCACACTATTGAGATGCTAAGTATAGGTAGACACAGCCTTTATGAATGGCTTAAACATAGTCCCTCAGAGTGATCTGCAGCCTTATTAGCCTATATAATTGGAAATCACTTTGCAGTCATCAATGAATCATTCTGCAGAACACTGATGGGGTAAGAGACGCCCTTGGTATTTCCCTTTCTCAGAAAGGAAGTAGGAGACTCAGGGCTGTGTTTCTTTGTACTGAGGTAGACTTTGGAGACAACAAGAGTCATCAGGATCTAACTTTCCATCAGGAATCCTCTTGGATAGAAATATACATTTGGGATTCTCCTTTCTGGCCAATCCCTTCACTATTCTTTCCTAATAGGGCCAGGATCCCTCTCCACTTCCTCTTTATGAAAGTTGGTTGTACTTGGTTAATTGATATGCTCTGTGCAGGGGTTTACCTTTGGTAGTGGAGTTAGATTTTGCCATTGCAGCTGTTTGTGTGGCAGGTGGATCAGAGCCATAATCTTCTATCTGTACTTCCCAAATCAAAAAATCTTACAGTCACAAGATTTCTTCACAACTCACCAGACAGCAAAGCCTATCCTGCTTTGAACTCACTGGCGGCAAAACTTGAGCTCAACTGATAGGGGGCTGTTTATATTCTTTATGCCAATTAGAAGAAAACATCAACTCCTCAATCCAGAAATATTGTGGAATTTGATAATAGGGTGCTGATTCAGATTTTCCTGAGGGTATTGCCTAAAGACATAGAGGCCCTCTTACCTTTCTAACATACAATGCATTTTGAATTCTGAAGTGTACCTGGCCCTAGGGATTTGGGGAGGGGGTTATCTGAGTAATGGGGAGTGGGGCTGGGGAAAGGTACAAAGAAACTGCTATCAGAGGGGTGACAGGGCAGAGTTGTTTTCCTTCGCCCCTCTTTGCCTCATGGCCTCTGTCCGTATTGCGGCTAGCATTCTGCCTATGGTGCCAAAACAGCTCTCTGTTCCTTTGCAGTGGTGGGCTTGGGGCTGGACCCTGACCTTCAGATGGATATTATCACAGAACTTGACCTTGTCAACACCACCCTCGGAGTCACTCAGGTGCCTGGACTGCACAATGGCAGCAAAGCATTTTTATTTCAAGGTAAAGGCTCTTCTTCCTTTGCACGAGGGTGGAGGGTGGGGAGGAGGGTCGGTCTGGGGATCGCCTTTGCTGGTTTTCTTGGGCTCTGGTCCAGAAGAGTATTCAGATGCGCAGCGAGTGTTCTGAGAGTGAGAGAAGGCATTAGGGGGCGTAGTGGTGAAATGTTTGGTTGGGTAATAAAATGGTTCCCTGGGGATTCTGGTTGGAGACTTACAGGGTAATGAATGTGCAAGAACTGTTGGACCACCGTGTTATTTTTACGATATTTCTCCAGCTGTTATCTGTCCCTTTACCTATGCGTATACCTACGTCATCATCTACCTGGTAGACCACGAACACAGAGTGTCTTCCTTTTGGGGTGCAGCTTTCCTGGCTCTGCCCATTATAAACTTGATGACAATTCATGAAATCATTCGGCGGGCATTTATACAGTTTAAAACACTGTGGGTTTTAAAAGGATGGGCTCTGGAGTTTTACGGCTTGGGGTCAACGTTAGTCCTACTTTGGCCCTGAGACTCTGGGTGGTTATTTGGCTTGACTATGCCTCAGTGTTCTCTCCTAAAGTAATGCATCCTTGCTCAGGCTACCTCATGCGGCTGTTACAAGGATGAAAAGAGCCTATTAAAGCAGTTACACCAATGCTTGATACACAGTAAATGCTTCATAAATACTAGCTCCCACTTTGGAATTCCTTTCATGTATTAGGCAGCATGCTAATAGTCATGGTGTCCCCAGGAGGAGTAAATGAGATGCAGCCCCTGCTCTGAAGTGTCGTTCCACAAATCACTGCTGAGTTAAAATGGCCGCACATGCAATGAAGGGGACGTATAGGCTGATAAATAAGAGTAATACAGGCAGATCTGATTCACTTGGAGAGGTGGTGGCATTAGAGAAAGGACACCCTGAGAAAGTGATACGTCAGCACAGACTGGAAAACATGAATAGAAAGCCTTGTGTAGGAATCGGGGTGGGGGGTGCTCAGAGCATTCTGGGCAGAGGAAGTAGTAAGTGTAAAGGTCTAGAGTTAGAAACCAATTGAAAGGGGTCTCGTGTGGCTGAACGGCACAGAGTGGCTGGAGAGGAAGGCATGGGCTAAGTTCTGAGGCATCGATGGGCAGAGCTAATGTTCTGCTGTCGTGCGTGGACGGAGAGTGTGTCTGATTGCTGGCCAGTGCCCATTCTGAGAGGTGCGAGGCCATGTACTGTACTTGTCACTAGCCATTGTAAATAGCACCCCTACCGGTAGGCCACATGAACGATTTTGTATTAGACTCACAGTGGTGGGGCCCTTGTGTAGAAAAAAGTATGGAAATGACCCGATTGCATAAGGTAATAAGGTGGCTGGGATATTTCTCTGTAAAAATACCTGGCAGGGTTCTTTTAACATAACTTTTTAAGAAGATAACCAAAGGATTCTTTTAGAATGACTGAATCAACATTGTGGAATGAGATTTATGCATTCCCTGGGTAGATCACTCAGGCCTTGTTAGTGACACATAGCAGGTCTACAGATATGTAATGAGAGTACAGATATCTTACTTTCTACTCTTACTAAAGAGTTGGTGAAACTTTGAAGCTGGGCATAGTAAAGAGAATACAGACTGGATTACTTTTCTTTGTGCACTGTACAAGGTCTGCATGGTCACTGTTGGGAGTCCATGCCATCCTCGGTCCGAGCAAGGGCTGTGGAAACTTGCTTGGTCTTTAAGCTCCAGTTCTACCTCCTCTGAGCCAGCTATTGTGCATAGTTCATTCTACATGGTTAGTAAAACGTTTGAAATAAATTAAAATTTTTTTTTTGTCCAGTCTACCTGCAAGAGGCTTGTGCCTACTTTGTTGATTATTCATTCCACAAGTGTGGGTGCCTTGGCCTGGGAACTCTGCTCTCTAATCTCTGTGTTCTCTGCTTTTCCAGCTGTCTCTACAGCAGCTAGGAGGGATTTTCACCTTTGTTGGTAGAAGACTGACCTCATTTTGAGAGTCTGAGGAGGCTTTTCCCTATATCCTATGTCTTTGTCTTGTGATTATACTGGCAGCACCTGGACAATGGAAGATAATTTTCCTTCTCAAGATCTGTAATTTGATCACATTTACAAAGTCCCTTTTGCCATGAGAGGTGACATATTCACAGGTTCTGACATTAGCTTATGAACATCTTTTTTTTTTTTTTTTTTGGTACCGGGGATTGAACTCGGGTCCTTGTGCTTGCGCAGCAGGTGGTAAAACCACTGAGGTAAATCCCCGGCCCTTATGGACATCTTTGAGGAGCCATCATTCTGATTGTCCCAAAGTCTGCTTTTTGGCTCCCAAAGATATGGTTCCACAAGCAAAATACATTCACTACATTCTAGTATCTCCAAAAGTTTTAAATCATATAGCCTCGGCTCAAAGTCCAAAATCTCTAATCGCACCAGTGGAGACTTCCAAAACTCACCATTCAGTTGTGTGACTCATTTTGGGAAGAAATTCTGCTCATCTCTAGACCTGTGAAACTAGAAAATAAGTATCTGCTTCCAACATACAATGGAGAGACCAATGTAGGACACCAGTTATGGAAGGAGGAAGTATAAAGAGGATGGGGTAACCAGCCCCAAACAGTTTTGAAATCAAGCTGTGCAGACTTCATTGGGTTTCCAGGTTTGGGAAGAATGCTTTGCCTGTAACTCATATCTCAGAGACAGTGTTTCTTTTTCATGAAGGGGACCATGTGTTTGCGGACACATGAGTAGTTTTATCAGCCTGTTTCCTGCCTGCAGAATTTTGAGGGTTTGTCAGCCCTCTTTCATTTTGTCCTTTCTCTGTTCCCTTCAGTTCAAGTTGGCAGTGTTTCTGTCGGTATTAATCTCAAGAATACTTTTTAAAATACAGTTTTATTTTTGATCAGCACATAGTAAGTATCTACATCTATGGGGTACAGTGTGGCATTTCAGAACCTGTATACACTGTAAAGATTAGATTAGGGTAATTGGTGTATCCATCACCTCAGGTATTCATCATTTCTTCATCTTGGCAAAATCTTCTCTACTAGCTATTTTGAAATACTCAATTAATTTTTGTCAACCGTGGCTGCCCTCCTGTGCTGTGGAACAGTAGGAGTTATCCTCCTGTTCAACTGCACCCCACCGTTAAACATCCTCCCGCTTTCTCTTCCTCTCCCCTCTTTCCCAGACTCTGGAAACACCACTCTGGTTTCTGTGAGGTCAATGTTTTGGTGTCCATATATGAGTGAGAACATGCAGTGTTTGTCTTTCTGTTCCTGTTCTATCTCACTTAGCACAGTGTTCTCCAGTTCCATCCATAATCCTACAAATTTCAAATTTTCATTCCTTTTTGTTAAGTGACAGAATAGTGTTCCATTGTGAAATTATACTACACTTTATTTGTCCATTCCTCTGTCTATGGATACTGGGTTGATTGAACATCTTGCCTATCCTTAATAGTGCTGCAATAAAAATGGGAGTGTAGATGTTTCTTGGACATTTAATTTTGATTTTAGCTGTCTATAATCCCAGTCGTGGGGTTGCTGGCTCATCTGATGATTCTGTTTCTAGTGCCTTTGAGGAACCTCTGCACGGTTTCCCATGATAGGTGTACTAATTTATATCTCCAGCAAGTGTCAGAACGTTCCCCATTTTGGCATCCTCAGCAGCATTTGACAATAGCCATTCTAATGGGGGTGAGATGATTTATATTTTCCTGCTAATGATTAGTGAGGTTGAGCATTTTTTCATATATGTGTTGGTCATTTGCATATATTCTTATTTTTCATTCATTAATTTTATTGGTACATTTTCAGTATACAGTAGGCTGACATTCATTCCTGGGAATTTGTAGCTTTATATATCATGGTTCTTATAGTTTTCCCCATTCCCCTGCCCTCATTTACATATGTTCTTTCCAGAAATGTGTATTTAGATCATTTGTCCAATTTTTAATTGAAAAAAATTTTGCTATTGGTTTGTGTTCCCTGTTGGTAAATAGTTCACAAATATTTTCTCACATTCTGTAAGTTGTCTTTTCACTCTGTTGCTTGTTTCCTTTGCAGTGAAAAAGGTTTTTAGTTTGATGTAATCCCATTTATCAATTTGTGCCTGTACTTTGGGGGTCTTTATTTTTGTAGTACTGGGGATGGGAGCCAGGGCCTTTGCACTGAGCTACATCCCCTGCCTTAAAATATTTTTATTTTGAGAGAGAATCTCACTAAGTCATTAAGCTGTCCAGCTGGGACTTGAACTTTCAGTCCTCTTGCCTTGGCCTTTCAGAGTGCCAGGATTACAGGTGTGTACTATACCCTCAGCCTCTTTCAGGGTCTTGTCTAAAACACTCTTGTCTCTTGCTATGTCTCGAAGCATTTTTCCTATGTTTTCTTCTACTGGTTTCATAGTTTTGTGCCTTACATTTAAATATTTGATTAATTTTGAGTTGATTTTTGTATATGATGAGAAGTATAGCTCTAGTGTTTTTCTTTTGTATGTGGATATTCAGTTTTCCTAGCACCACTTGTTGAAAAAAAATTTCCGTTTTCTAATGTATGTTCTTGCTGCTGTTGTCAAGAATCAGTTGACTGTAAATATGTGGATTTATTTCTGGGTTCTCCATTCTCTTCCATTGACCTGTGTCCATTTTTATGATGTGTCATACTGCTTTGGTTAATATAGCTTTCTAGTATGTTGAACATTTTCAAGAATCTTTCAGGTCTACTATTTAATAGGGATCCTTTGTTTACTGGCCTCCAACATGTCTGTCATGTCCTTTTAAGCCTTCAATGGCAGCACTTTTAATAGAAATTTGAACACTATAATGTTTCCAGAATACTCCAATTAAATCTCTGTTTCCGGTGTAGTACTGTCAAAGAGAAGTATATTGTGAGTTGCATCATTTTACGTTTTTAACAAAATACAGAATTTTGTTACAAATACATGATACCAAAAATTATTTTGTATTTTACCCTTGAAACATTTCAATTTCAATGCTAACTTTTGTCTATAATAACTAATAGA